TATTCAAATTAACAGAGTGTTTGGGAGACGCAGAAGGAACTAAATGGCAACTGCAATATCAGTGCCTCATACTGAATGTCAAGCATAATGAAGGCACAAGATGATCTCACAAAGTTTTATAACATGAAAAATCTGAAGAATTGCTAGGCACCTTAATCCTTGGGGGCTATCAGAAAGTTTATGGAATGTTATATCATACTCTATGGAAAGCACTTCACCTTGGAAAATTGTATCCAACAGCAGAGGAATCTAAAACTGAAATATACCTAAAATGTGTCTGCAGTATTTAAAGGGTAAAAAGGCACCCAGGAGACACTGACAACAACAAAGTGGCTGTCACATTTAGAAGATTTTAACCCTGTTGACCTGATGTGGGAACTGCCTGACTATACGGTACATAGAAAGACAAGTTACCCTATGATCGTTTCTCTAAAAGGCAGTAAAGGCAGATTAATTTACAAAAGAATAGCAGTTCATTTTAAGTCTGCCAAACTTTACGTGCATTTCTCCTATTGTCTGCGGTTGATTGAAAGGCAGTTTAAGAAACACTTTGAAAGTTTCCAACAAGACGTTTGGACATATGTGATGAAATGCTGTTAAAGTGAATGATAGGCATTAGTTTCATATTTTTTAGTTGCTTCTTGAGAGAGATAAAGTAACTCTGGTTCAAATGTTTTTCATCATGATGAGTAAACCTGTTCCTGTTAATTTTCCTCAATGACATTGTGAGTGTTAAGTTGATAACATAAAACTGCAGACCAAAATTTGATTTTAGGTGACACTAAATTAGCTGACTTCAACAGTTCAGCAGTCTAGCAGCCTGTCTACATCCTTCCTGTATCCTAGCTAAATTTCATTTTTGTGTTCTTAAAAGATGAAGTCCTAAGGTGCTACAACTCAACATGGTAATTATATTAAAAAAATCTTTTCATTTTCTGCATTTATTAATTTGACTGTTGAAAAATATGTGTTTCCATAAAAAACAATAAGAATTTGGGGGGTTTACATTACATTTTAGCAGGGGTGTAGTAGGAACCATTTCACTCTAAGAAATTGAGCAAAGTTAATGTGGTTTAATTCCAAAAAAGTAAAAATATTTAAAAAAAAACACACACACACACACACATCAGGTTTAAACACAAAAAACAAGTGAAACCTCTGCCTTATATTGTGTTGAATATGGCACAACTAATTCTATTTGAGGATTTTATGTGACAGACCTACACAAATTAGCATATAACTGTGACAGAAAAATAAGCAGTAAAACATGGTCGTCAACATGTTTTACTGCAAAGTTTGTAAAGCATGTCAAATATATTTTCTGTCGTAATCCAAAGTACTTATTTTGATACCCCTGAAACAAAACTTGCAAAGGGTTTCTACAGGAATAAAGCATTAGTAACAATGATTTACATTTATTCATATCAGAAATTAAACTATTCTCTTAAAGCTTTAGAAGTTTGTTGGATAACGTTAGTGAACAAATATAAAATATATCTGAGACATTTTCAGCAAGGTTAGGTGACTAATACCCAAAGTTAGGGCTGCTCAGTCCATCTTCACTAAATCACCAAGAATATAGCTTCACTGCGAGCCCACAATATGACTGTCCACATACATTAAGAGGAGAGAGTGAATCAGAGAAGCAGTTCAAAGCTCAGGTGAAAAAATTCTGTAAACAGGATAAAAATAACACTGCATATCCTGCAAAAATCCCCACCCTCATGGTGGAACTATCCTTGCATATTTCCTGCAGTGATATACGGACTATGAAACAGAATTAAAGTATATTGTGAGATGGAAAGACATTTTTTTTTAACTGTGGCATACACTGATCACAATTTTAACACACCATTTCTAAAGAGATGCTTTAAACCATCTCCTCTTACTTTATCATTACACTGTACTCTTAGTTTGTCTTAGAAAATCTTTTTTTATTATTATTATTTGGAAACATCAAAAGGTTTAAAAGGGTTGAATACTTCTGCAAGACATGCTGCATACGATGGAAAATTTTTAACTTCTAACTGGAACTTAACCATAGGTTGGTTCTATTGGACTCTACTCTTAAATTGGTCATGGGAATCCCTTTTGACATATCCAGTAAAGCAAAGGTTTTAATATCAAATTTTAATGCTCTCCCTAAGACATACAAAAAATTATACAGTTTTAGCATTATTTAATATTAATGATGTTAAGTAAAAAAATATCCAACAACAACACAGTCTGTTCACTTAAGGACTTTGGAGTGAGTAAATTAATCAAGAGCATTATCCTGCATGGGGAATATGTCACTGTAATAAGAAAACAATTTATTAATAATATAATTTAAGAAGAAAAGTATTTAAATATCACTTGTTAGACATTTTGTCTGCATATTTTCTATATTTATTAAAATGTACATATACATTTTTCATCAGTAATTTAATGTAAGAATGTATTGTGCTTTGAGAAAAGTGAGAAACTCGGTGCTTACAGTTTGCATGACCTGTCCTTCGCTGCCTCCTGCTGTACTAAAGGAATAACTCATCCTGTCTGAGCGGCCTCTCCGTGGCCTCTATTGTGCGCACCGAGAGAGGAAGGAAGAGGGAGATGGTTGGTAGATATGGGAGGAAGGGAGGGGGAGATGGCTGATGGACTCCACAGCATCAGTCTCAGGGGAGACTGAGCGGGCATCACCATCAAGCAGCCTCTGACAGCTCATACCACGCCTGAGCAGCTCTCTGACGAGCTGCAGCAGAGCTCAGAAAGGGGAAGGAGGAGCCTCAAAGGGCCACGGAGGGGAGGGGGGGAGACATGCACAATCAGCAGAAACTCAGTGCTGTATAGAGGCACGTTAACCACCAGGGTTATTACTGTGGAGCAGGCCGTGGGAGTGGGACACTGCAGTTCTCCGAGACGGCCCACTGATTCTTACAGCTTTGCAGTTAGCTGGAAGCCATGCTGCAGAGATGTGTCCTCCATTACAGACTGCAGGGGCCCCACTGTACAGCCAGGCTTATGGTGCCAAGGAAAGATCTTTCTGAGCTCCTCTTGGCACTATTAGGTTCACAATTTGCACAGAATCATCCTTTTAAGATGAACCAAATACACAGTTGCCTGCAGTTTTCAAATTGCGAAAAAAAAAGCAGTTTATGGGAAAAATAAAAGTGGTTTCTTGATTGTTTTTGCTTTAAAATGTATTGATTGTATCATGTTTTGTTCGAGCCCACTTTAAAAAAAAAATATAAAATTCTTTATAAAACCACATTTAATTTCTTACATATTCCTTTCGAGTTATGGTTCAACATTTAACAGCTTGGCTTGTGCCAAACTGGAAAATTTATTATGGCTTGCTTTTGAGGTCTGCTTTTCTTCTTGCCGCTTTTATTTAAAGGCCAGATTTCTACACAGTTAGTTTTCCTGTCCAAAAATTACTCACCAGAGTTGGGGGTTCTCTATTGTTCCTAAATGGTTTCCATAAGCCTCTTGGCTGCTTTTCTGATGGACAATGTATCTGTCAAAGCTGCCAGTTTTGGTTTACAGTTGTGTCATACTACATCTTCTGCTAAATGATGGATTGAACATTTCTCCATGAAATGTTCAAAACGTGAAATGTTTTACAACTCATCCCTGCGGTGAACTTCTCTGCAGCTTTATCTGTAATCCGTTTACTTTGACTCTCCTGCTTCACTGTAATGTTCTCAAACAAAACTGAGAAGTATTTATAGAAAAATACATCTTATTGCAGTTATAGCACTGCAAAATACATATATATATATATATATATATATATATATATATATATATATATATAT